AGGCAGGGGTGCAATGGCCTCACCTCCCAGAATCCTAAATCGCCTTTTATTGAGGCAAATCTCTCGCTGCTCCCAGCCATTTGCATCTTGTTTCTTCTGGAGAATTGCACTCATGGGCACCGGAGGGCTTTGCCTGTGTCTAGAGGGTAGAAGACTTGCTGTTTTTGGCAGGTGCTCTCTGCTCTGAAGATGACTCTAGGGCAGGTTGGTGTGGTGGAGGCAATGAGAGACCAGGATACAGGACTTGCACCCTGCTGACTTTCCTCTTGAGATTGCGAGAGGTGTAAGGAATGACTCGTACGATCAGGAGGGGAGGATCTAGATGAGCTTGTATCCCTCTTCCATTCTTGGGGGTTTTTTTGGAGCAGATGTGCTGTCACTCTACCAGATTCTCAAACAGTCACGCATATGCAAGTGTGCCAAGAGATTTAAGTGTCTAGTAATGCTAGTAACTTGGCATGGCTAAATTTGTGTCAGCAATTAGCTTCCGTAATAGGTTTTCCTGCATATGTAATCGCTTCTGTGATTTATGTTCCCTGTGTTCATTTAGTCTGCACAGAAGTCTGGCCTGGCTTTGCAAGTCTTAGTCTCTGCATGTGCTGCCTTATTTCAGGCTGCTGCTGGAAACATCCTGCAGCAGCACGGGTCTGGCTGCAGCTCCAAGGTACAGCCGGGGCAGTGATTGCGGATTTTCTGTTCTTGCTGATGGTCTCGCTTTTCATGTTGGGTGGCATGTGGCAGGTTCCCTCTGTTAATTAGAACAAATGTGCCAATTATGTTAATGTATCTCCCGATACCAATCAGAGAATAATTAGCGACAACACATCTGTCTCTCACTGGGGAGCGGGATGACAGAAAAGACGCTACAAGGTATGTTGCTCTAAATTACAGCTGCCTTGGATCGTGCGCTTCCTCTGCCAGTCGCGGGGACGGCTCAGTCTCGTGGAGGGCTTGCCAGCATGTTAGCAGCACTGGATGTGTAGATCCAGCACAGCTGGCAGGAGCCGCGTGCCTCACTGCCCTGCAAATTACATCCAGAGCACTAAGGAGCGCTGACCAAAAAGTAGCTGACTTCAGGCGTGCTCCACCTTCTAAGCATCCGCAGTTGCTGTGAGTGTTTTTTCATTCAGTGTGCTCACACCTGTACAGAGGGGCTTTCTCTTGCCAGTCAGTTTGCAAACATATGACAAAAATACCTTCTTGAGTGGAAAACTAAAAAAAGAAATGGGGATTTTGTGCCTGCTTTGTTCCAGGGGGCTGGTATGTAAGAAAAAACAGTTGCATGTTGTTGTAATTTTCCATAGCTGTCATCTCCACAAGGGAACACTTACCCCATCCTTCATGGCAGTATTGTTGCCAATTAAATGTTTTCTGTTATGATAAGGAAAAACTGATGCCCAGGCTTTTTCTATGTATATGCACAGCCATCTGTACATTTATTAATAACAGTTGGTGGGACATGCCTGATTTAATTGAATAAATAGAGCTAGGTACCTGTTCAAGAATCATTGTGACTATAGCTAGTAAATATACATCCTCAATATTTAGGCAAAAGCAAACATCTACTCTAGAAACGTCTTCTCCAGAGAGTTGAAAAACGGAGCTATGAGGGCGTGATTTGGTATGACCCTGAAGACAGGCATCTTGTGCACTTTGAAATGCCCATGGGTATCCTGCTGCCCCTCTGTCCGCTCGCCCGGAGGGGTGCAGGTCTCTGGCACATAAATGTCCGGTGCCTCATCCGTCAGCATCTTGCAAGCATGGTGGTTTCCCCAGGGCACCAGTCACCGTTATCCAGGCAGCAGAATTAAATTCATGATAAGTTTCTGCGTTGACTGGATTAACAGCCTACTTCAGCGAGGGGGCTGTGCCTTGGGGAATGACATAGCATCAAAAGAGATCGTTGCTTTTAACTTCTGTAATAACAGTTTGCATACTTGTCATTCGTAAATCACACTGTCTCGTTCCACTTTGTTCTCATCTCTTTTGTATTTGACACCTGATCTCTTCCTACTTACGTGACAGAACAACCCTGCTCCCACCTATTCTGGTTACCTCAAAAAAATAAATCTGAAGTTTGGAGGTGCTGAGCACTGCAGTCACCTGCACCAGACAAAATGAGGCCGTTAGTAACTGAAAATAAGTACCAACAAAAGTCTCATTTACATGTTGTAATGTGTTTAATTAGTTACCATTTCTACAAGGACTGAGGGAGGAAACACAACCACTGGAGGGGTGTGCTCTTTTTTGTGTTGCTCTACTGATGGGTAAAACGTGTATGAAAGGAGACTCTCGCCTCTTGTCAAATCATCCATCAGTTCCTCCGTTCAGATTTGACAACCTTACAGTTTGCAACACGAACAGACTCACGACATCATAAAAACCTGGATGCCAGAAGAAGACTGAATTAGATGTATTAAAGAGATACTTTGTAAAAGAGATGGGGTTTAGATATGCACATACAGTACTGATGTACTGGCAAAACAGATTTTTCAGAAAAAAAGACATCCTGTTGTTCTGCAAATTTAACGTTTTATTGTTAGCAAATTCTGTGAGCCATTAGGTGAAAAGGATCTTTTTCCTAAGAGATTTGGTGAAGAGCCAGAGGCAGTATACTGAATTGTAGAGAGTATCTTTTTTTTCTGATATTGGCAGCTCCTGTTTTCATATCATCTTTGGTGTTTTTGCAGGGATGACAGGGATTTTAATGCTCATAGCTTTAATTTTGTCTAATCAGCTGAGACCCAGACTGAATATGCATGTGTGTGTTTTTGTGGAGAGAGAAAGTGTTGCAGAGTACTGGAAAAAGAGAACCGTGTGGAGCATGGAGCCATGCATAGTGCTGAGGGCTGCTAGAGTATGTGATCGGATGGGCGTACCAGAAACATTTTGGACTGAGCCTTAGACCATGTAGACTGTAGTCCTGTCCTCACTGACGTCCTGATGTCCTCAATGTGCAGAGCACAGGAAAAGTACAGGTGGATTTGAAGGTGATATGTACACAGCTGTGGCAGCACGTGTAGCATCTTTTAGAGTCCTGACACAAGTCTGTACTCCGTCCCAGAAATAAATAATGGTATTAAAAACCAAGAAAGACATTTTGTTTGTGTGAGAGGCAGGGGTTAAGTGGCAGCCTACCACTGGTGGAGAGGTAAGCTTCTGGCTTGTTTTTCAGTCTGGGATGCATGCAGACTTGACCTGCGGGTGAGGAAGGAGCTAAGCATTGCCATTGACTGAACAGGAATCTGTCTGTCTTGATTATACGTAATACCTATTAGGATTCAAGAAAGGAGGAAGAACAATTTTAGTCATCCTGGCAAGGAAAACCAGGTTATTGACTAAGAGCTTGTATCTTCCATGGTAAAACATGAATGTTGTAGTGACAGAAACACAGCCTCCAAAGTTTTATGTCTTTTTTCTTCCTTCCCTGTTCCTCGCAGACACACGTATCCATTTCCACAGCCCTTTTTGCACCACCAATTTTAAGCTATACAGTATCGTGGTTGTGAGGCTACCACATACTGCAGCAATCTGCTGTGGGAGTGAAGGGTTTAAATCAAGCCTTCCTCAGGGCAGCGGCTTTACATTCACTAAGGTGTACGTCTTTGGAAGCAGCTCACACCTGATGCACATCCACCCAAACTGGGGTAGGGGAGCTGGAGCTGCTTAAAGTAGGGCTAAAGATCGGGAGCGGGTGGTGGGCAGCTTGAATCCAAGCCCACATCTGCCAGTGCTGGTCTTGCAGTGTTGGATCGGCTCCGTCTGGGGATGAATCGAGCCCTCTGTGTTTAACACTGGGAGAGGCCATTGGTTTTCTCCCCACAGCTCGGGGCAGTCTGTATGGCTGTCTCCAGGGGGGGGAGCAGGTTCTCTGTTGGTTTTGGGGTATGTTGATGCTTGGGCAGTTCCTCAAATGTCTTTGGAAAAGTGGGGTTTGTGAGAGCAGGTCTTTGCAGTTAGCACCTCGCGGGTCCAGCAGGTTGATTGTGTTTATGTTTTTCTTCCTTTAATTAAATCCTGGGCACAAGCTGAGGTGATCCAGTGACATGAAGGCCCGGCTTTGATCCATCCAGGGCCCCAGTCCCATCCTTCAGAGCACGCTCAATTCAAATGAAAACAAGCTACTAGATTTGCAGCCAAATTTTATTAGGGTGGCTCACAGCAGTCAGCTGGGATATAATAGGGTGTTTCTTTAGGAAGGCAATAAAGAGAACATTGTCTAGATTAAAAATCACATATAAAAATATTTTTCTATGTAACCAAGGAAATCACGCTTTATTAAAATAAAATATAGCTTACATAAAGAAAAGGGAAAAATAAGCACTGATGTAGTTTTTGTGATTCCCTATTTCCTTGGTAACTGTCTCTATTTTGTTTAATCCTGATTGCAGCAAAACAATAACATGCATGTACATGTGAGTACATGTATACTTAAAAACATCATTGGCGTGTTTGTAATTAGTGTGACCTACTCTGGTATAGGGCCTCATTGTGTTAGACCCAAGGCAGGTACATACAAGGTTACTGCATTATTAACTGCCTAATTAGACAAGACATACAAAAGGATGGATGAGATCTCTGCTGTTTTAGGGTTTCTGATGTTGTAAGGGAATTTTCTGTTTGTAGATATGGTCCTAAGGTATCACCCCTTCCTTATCCCTTGCCTCAGACTCTGAAAACATAGATCAGCTATTTGTCTCTGTACAGTAGCTGGCAACCTTTGAAAATGCGTTGATATTTTCAAGGCAAGGCAAGACAGCTGTTGTGTGGACAGGTGGGAGGGAAGGGGACCTGAAGGAAAGGGTAGGCGTGAAGGGTGTTCTCCTGCATTTCTGCTGTGGTGTTTTGTTTCAGTTGGCATGCCTCAGGTGAGTCCTTCGTGATGTGGCTTGACTTGTTGCGCTTTCTGGGATAAGCAATGTAATCACAGATACTGTGCCCGTTGTGGTGTGTCCTGGTGCTGACTCACTGCCTCCCCTCTGGCCCTTTGAAACCCTAAGGTGGAGTGGCTGAAGAACGAAGAGGTGATTGATCCCGTGGAAGACCGAAATTTTTACATCACCATCGATCACAACCTGATCATTAAGCAAGCCCGGCTTTCTGACACAGCCAATTACACTTGTGTCGCCAAAAACATTGTGGCCAAAAGGAAAAGCACCACAGCGACTGTGATTGTCTATGGTAAGTGATGTCTCATCCTGCTGCACATGGATGGACGCACGCTCAAAGCAAGCGGTGGGACAGGAGGGGGGTGCAAAATGCCTGTATGCAACTCTTCCTGTGGTGAGTGACCAGGCTGGGCCGCCTGTGCTGCCTGTTGACTTGCAGCTGTATGCAGTGACTGCAGTCAGGGTTCATTACCAAAAATACTCCGAAGTACAGATCTGATATCTTGGCTTATTGGTGACAGACAACGGCATTAAAGGAGGAACAGGCACCTACACAAACAGCCGGTTGCCTCATTGAAGAGAAGGAGGTTGCTCCCGTTGCCGTAACACATGCCGTCTGGATGCAGCAAGGAGACATTAGTGCACTTCCTCCAGCAGGAGCATCCAAGGCATTGCTTTCTACCAACGCATTTCAGGTTCTTAGTGTCCCTTTTCAGAAGTAAAAGTAAAACTGAAAGGAAGTTTGTGCTTCCAGGTACTGGTAAGAGTGTCAGAGCACAGCAGAATCTTCCACCTTCTTAGATCTCTTTAAATAAACTTATTTTTGGTGTCTACTTCCAAAACATACTCTGATGTCAGGGGCAAAGTAGCAAAGCACTCTGGGACTGCAGTTCATAGGCACACAACCTAGCTTAAAAATAAACATCAGGGGAATACGAAGCACGGGATAACATTATTCTGTGTCTGCATCTGCAGCCTCGCTCTAATATTGAGGATGGCCGTGCTTTGGCTGGGGAGGGACCAGATGAGATGCCCTCCTGGGGTCTCTTCCAGGCTGTGTTGCGCTGCAACTCTGCCCCACCAGTCCAAGCCTTTGCCCCTGCAAAGTTACTGCCCGATGCGTCCCAGGCGGGAGTATCCACCAGAACAAAACCTGCTCTGACAATGTGCCAGCTGACTGTCCTGGTGTTCCTTACAATCAGCTTAATTATAGGATAGACAAGTAGGAAAAAATCCCTATGATTATCCCTAATATTCATTTCATATTCAGGGTAGCAGTTAGATTTAATTGTAAGCAGTTGCTTCCCTGAAGTTACAATGAGGGCCTTTTAGTTCAGTTTTTATAGAAAACTGACTGAATTGAGTTGATTAGCAGTGTTTATGATATTGAGGGATGGACCATGCAAGAGCACTGTGTTTTGTAACTGTGATGAATGCAGAAACATAAAGATGGAGGCATACTGCAACTCTTCCTCATACATATACAGCATTTTTTTCAACAGTGCAGTCGAGAGATGTATGTAGGGGAGCAGCCATTTTTATGGGGTTTGCTACCAGAGCTGCTTAAGGGTTGTGTCATATCACAAACATTTGGGTTTAAGGAATCTGAGCAGTTAGTATGTTATCCATACCCTGGCGATGATATTATTACATAGAGCAGCACAGCTCCTTTTTCATCCATTCATCTATCCCAGAAACTGAGGTGGGTGAAAAAGAGTCAACATAAATATCTTCCCAGAGATAAATATCTTCCCAAAGTCCAATAATAAAAATGTATTTAGTGTGAATTCACTCTGAACAGCTTAAATATCTCTTATGGAAGTGCCGAGACATTCATATGCACCAGCTATGTCCACAGAGGGGTCAGTGAAGTTGTCCTGACATCCTGAAATCACCTTCTGGAAAGAAAGGGAAAGAAAATTATCAATTTCTAATCAAAGCATGGGGGTCTCTCGACGTGCATAGATGATGGGTACATCTGAGAATGAGCCGGAGTGCAGGTTATCTCCATTTGGAAAATGGTGCAGCTTTCAGAGTGCAGGCTCCTGGCTGGCAGAGCTGTGGGTGCTCTCTGAACCTGCAGAGATTTTGGCCATGCCACACATGCTACCAGGTGCTTAGTACTGGGTCAGGTCAGTTTTCAGGAGAAGGCAGGTCACCTGCCAGCTGTAATAGTCATCAAATGGTGTTTTTCATTCAGCGTCAGCATTTCGTTGACTTGTACAATGACTTCTGGCATGCTGTACATTCGGTATGTTGGAGACGTGAGTTTGTGTCTGTTCAGTGTTGCTTCTCGTGCTCTTCCCAGCCATCACTTGTGACTGCTGTCGGAGGCAGCATGACACAGAGCCACAGGCGCCTTTGGGCTGAACAGGATGGCTTGCTTACGCGATCATACTCTTTCTCTCTTGCTTTTCAGTGAACGGAGGCTGGTCTACCTGGACTGAGTGGTCAGTGTGTAACAGCCGATGTGGGAGAGGTTTTCAGAAGCGTACGAGGACCTGCACCAATCCTGCCCCACTCAACGGTGGTGCCTTCTGCGAGGGCCAGAGTGTTCAGAAAATAGCTTGCACCACTCTGTGTCCAGGTTCAGTATGAACAGTACATAGCCCTAGATAAATAGTTTGTCTGTCACCAGTCATTTCAGGAGAAGACTATTAGTTACAAAAGCCTCCTTCTCTTTATTAATAAATCCAACATTTCAGTGAATGAATATGGAATTATATTATGTAAGTAGATAAAATAGTGAGCACATTATATCAAGCAGCAGAGGATTCAGACCCACTTTTGGATGCAGCTTGCACCGGTGTCTCAGCCCTGGTAATTCAGGGGATTTGGGGGACATTCAGAGCTTCAAATTATAGGAGATCAAGGTTGAAAGCTCTGGAGAAGGACTGAAATTTGAATATAGAAAGAAACTGTGGTGTAAATATATTTGCAATGTCTGTTCAGTCCAGCTGTCACAGCAAGTGGTGCGTCTGGGGTGTGGATGTTAAATTTGAGGCACGTGTTTACCTGACTTCAAATACAAAGATGTTTATACTGGAAAGAGATGTGTATGCATACCTCTAAAAGGTATTTAAATGTAAACTTCTGAAAAATACAAAATTGCTTCAGGACACACAAGGTAGTTGGTGGCTTTTCTGTGACAAAAGTTCTGCCATTTGTCCTATTGTCCAATGCTTTCCTACCTCTGCAGTCCCACTGGAATCGATGGCAGTGGGGTTGTCTTTAGCTTGTGAAGTTTGGCCATCCAACTCCGGATCTTAGTGGTGGGTGAAACTTAAAAGCTGAAATTTCATCTCAGGTCGCTATTTCAAGTGACAGACTCCTGGGTCAGGCTGTGTCACTGGAACAATTTCATTGTTTGTTCTTCAGCTGTTCAATTTAGTGCTTTTGAAAATCATTTGCAGGATTTTGAAAGGCGCTAAACACATTCCTGATTCTGCTTATGTGAAATAGATCAGTACCTCAAGATACTTCTTTTAACAGAAAATATTTAACATTAAATATCTTCCTACTAAAGAAGAATTTCTGGCCAAGTTTAACTTTAACCTCTGTGTTTAAAAATGCCAAAAAAAAAAAAAAACAACATATTTCCAACTTGTTGTTCATTTTCTTGTATCTGCTTATGTGAAATAGATCAGAACCTCTAGATACTTCTTTTAACAGAAAATATTTAACATTAAATATCTTCCTACTAAAGAAGAATTTCTGGCCAAGTTTAACTTTAACCTCTGTGTTTAAAAATGCCAAAAAAAAAAAAAACAAACATATTTCCAACTTGTTGTTCATTTTCTTGTACACTTTGAGCACAGATAAACTGCTGACAAGTTAATAAAAGGGGGAGGAAAGAGCAGAAATGGGGCCAGGGCAGAGAGAAAGGAGAGGGAGACCAAATGTGCTTTTACACGCCAGAAATAGGACTTTAAGAAGAGCAGACTGATGATCCTTCTGCTTTGCTGGGAATGGCCGGGAGTTGCAGGCTGGCTTGTGCCGAGACATGCATTGCTCTCGCTCAGTCTCACTTTTATGTACCCCCTAACAAGTCATGTCCTTTCCTTGTCTCAGTGGACGGCAAGTGGACATCCTGGAGCAAGTGGTCCACCTGCGGCACAGAGTGCACCCACTGGCGCCGGAGGGAGTGCACAGCCCCGGCGCCGAAGAATGGAGGGAAGGACTGCGAGGGGCTGGTGCTGCAGTCCAAGAACTGCACTGATGGGCTCTGCATGCAGGGTAAGTGCTGCTGTGACGCCTCCGGGATCTGAGATATACGTGGCGACAGAAAAACCTGCAATAGCTGCAGATCAGCATCAATGACCTAAAGTCGCAGAATCATTTGTAGGATGGAGAAATGAGTGAATCCAGTTCTCACCAGTCTGGACACCCCACTCTTCTTCCATGAAGATGGATGTAATACTGTCTGAGGTTTATGAAGTTGAGCAGTGAAGAATTAGAAAGCCTCATAACAGAGCCCTCTCCCCCCTGCCCTCCCCACCAAACAGCCCTTCTCTCTAATACCGGCTCAGCATCTGTCCAGGGAAGCTTGGCAGTGACTCTTACGGCAATGCAAATAAAAAGTAGAGGGTTTAGGGCAAAGCCAGCATTTTCAAAAGAGTAAACTTGGCAAAGCAGATCAGCTTGTGGCTTCTTACTGTCAGGAACGGCGCGTGCATGTCTTTCTACATATAGTAGTTATGCCCCTTTTTGAATTTGGGGTGCCCTGTAGTAGAAAGAGGTACCCTGTACCCATGCAGTGCCTATGCAAACTTCAGTTATCAGCATGCTGCAGCCTCATGAAGATCAGCTCTAGCACTGAAGTCTATTCTGCCTGCGCCTGTTCACACCATGGTCCTGCCTTTGTGACTAATAAGGGCGAGAAGTAAAAAAAAGTAGGCTTTTAGTGTGATTCTGACATATGCTGACGAACAATTAGTCTTCTCTGCACCCCATCCCTTCTCAAAAATGAGGTCTTCTCTGTTCTGCTGGTGCGTTGAAACTTCCTTTCACATTTCGTTAGCACAATAACCCGAGCCAAAATCCTCACATACACCTTTCTCCTGTTCCTTCATCCTGTCTCTCTGCAGTACTTCTCTGTTGAGTCTCAGCTCTCTGTTGCCCAAAGAGTTGTGGCTGTAACTAGCCGGTATCTATGTGTCCAAATCATAAAATGCTTTGATTTAACATTAAATATCTTCCTACTAAAGAAGAATTTCTGGCCAAGTTTAACTTTAACCTCTGTGTTTAAAAATGTCAAAAAAAGCGCGTTTCTGTCATGAAAAAGGAGTCAGGAATTTTTATTCTCTGAGGCAGGTTACTTTTGACTGAAATAGTCACAATGACAGAAAAGTGATGCTACTAGCTAATAAATAGGTCTACTTCTTGAATAAGTGCCATATAGGTGGCTACTGTGCTGGCAGCTATCTCTGAGCTACCCTGTGGCACAGCATGGCCATTTGCTCTGAGGTTTCCCAGATTTACAAAAAAGGCTTCTTCAGCATGGCTCGCACAAACACTTTCATCACTTTAAAAACCATTAGTCAGTGTCAGCAGCCTACAAAGCTGTAATTCCTCAAAGCATTTGTTTTTATGGGGAAGACAGAAAGGTGAGATTCAGAGCTCCTCTCTTTTTCTTTTCTAAAGATAGAAAAAAAAAAAAATCCAGCCACGTCTTACTGTATAACACCTTGGTGACTTTTATAGTGGGGAAGCTAACATACCCCTAGCTCCAGTGGTGTGAATAAGTCACTATGGTAAATTAGGAAGAAAAGATACATTTCCCCATACAGAAGAGCTCTTCACTATCGGATTATATTTAGACAGGTGTATGTCATCTTTGTGTATGTGCATAAAGAGAGCCATTTAAGCAGAAATCTTGTGGAAAAGTAGATATAATGGAACAGCAGAATAAAAGCCCTGTAGGGATCTCATTTATCTGTTGATGGTATATTGCATTTTATTTGTGAAAGTGGATGCTGAGTATAAAGCAGAGGTCTTCAGCGGGAGAGAGGGTGAGGCTGTTGTGAATCCTATTCTGCTTCATATATATGTATATAAAAAATGGTAATGAAAAATATACAGTCACATATTGACCTGCTTGGCTCCAGGGCCTGTGATCATCCTTCAGTGTTAGAATTTAATGGCAGTGTTTTAATGGTGTCTTTATACTTGCGGGGTTTCATATACCTGTAAAACTTACAGTCCTGCTCCCTGATCCATCACTGCTGAGAAGATTGATTTGCTGTACTTGGTGGCAGTGTGCCTGCTGCTCTCTCTCTCTTTTTTTTTCTTTGTCCTTCTCAGTTTATGCAAAACCAATCTGAACACTAACATTTTTGCTGGTGTGGATCTAGATTCATAGCAAATCTGCCTGCTGAGCTAAGAAGAAATACAGGACTCCTTTCATTCCTTAAACACCATGCTTCTTTCCACGTTGTTTGAGGCTGGTGGGGACTGGCTTGGCACTGACATTTCTCCTAGCCTGGGGACCTGTGGATCCACAGCAGACTTTTCCAACATCTTCATGCCAGTGGGTCTGTCATGGCACAGGTGGCAAGGGGGGAGCCATGGCCACTTTTCCTCTGTTGCCGTAGCCCTCCGGGAGATGTGTTGACCAGGTGCTTACCTGCACCATAGCCAAATCCTGCTCTAGGTGCCCTGGTGCTTCCTCCTTAGTGTCAGTCTTTAGTGAGAGCTTGAAGGTTGACTTTAGTACCATGAGTGTAGTTGACAGACTGTAGACAGACCCTCTTACCAGGAGTCACTGGGCTGTTGCTTTGACAAAAACCCACTTGTAAATACATATCTCTATATAGCTGTACATAAAAGATATCCTGGAAAATGTTGGATTGAACGAGTCTAATTTACAAACCCTTTCTCTTCCAGTCTATTATTCACTACAGTAGCATCAGCTGGATAAATCAATAAGCTCTTTCATCAGACTGCCCCTGCTCCAGCAAAGAGCAGCAGTCTGCACCACTATCGATTTCTGTGGGGATAAAAACTGTGGAGCTTTCTCCATCCCTTGTAATTACAGTATTTTACACCCAAAGCTGTAGTTTGTGCTTACCACTAACTGTGGCATTTCTTGTGCAACTCTGCTGTCACATTTATGCAGACTAATGATCTTGCTAGTACACACATACACTCCCTTATCCAGTAGTTAGTATTTTTCTGCTATCATGAAAGGATGAACAGTCATTAAACTAGAGAGCCTGCAGAGAGACAGCAGGCTGAATTGAAGAAGAAAAGCAGCTGTAGTGAAAATTTAGGGCGGTCATTACTATTTTAAGTTTCCAAATACAAAATATTGCCTAGCAGGTCCCATTATAACAATTTTGTAATTCCCATAATAGCATTAATATGATCTTCTGGAATAAAATATGCTGTAGGTGTAAGAAGAATTGGCTGGGTACCACCCACACTAGTTGCATTATTGCCTCCATAGTTGCATTATTTCCCATTTGAAGTATGAGTACTGTGGTAAATACTTAAGTGCAAGGAACGACACTTTTAAAGGCACGCACTGCATCTCACAGGGGATCGCTGTAAACTGAAACACTGCCATTAGCCCTCCACTCATCCCACCTAATGACTTTGGTGGGCGTTCTCTGTGGGGACTAAGAAAGCAAAGCACTCCACTGCCGGCTCAAACTTCAGCACAAGTAGTTCCCTTCACTAGATCACAAATATGTTTAAAGCAAAGTACAAGGGCAAGTGTTTTGCTGGGCCCAGTCTGGAATGACTGCGAGGTCATGTATGTGGTACCAAACAGATGCTAAAAGTCCCTGGTGGGCCAAATGCTGCTTTGCATTGTGTGTAGAATGCTGCTGGTAATCAGGAAGAGGTGGACAACCTATGAAGAGAGTTAGCTGTGTTGCATGGTTATGTTGAAGGCTCGTTACATGAGTTGTGACGTGCAGCTGTCACTCTCAGAGCACGTCACCTGTGTCCTTTCTGTTGAGGATCTGAAGTGACAGTGTTCAGATCTGTATTCTCCCTGTCCTGAATAAGTAAGTACAGGAAGTCCATAGGCGTGAGGTCGGTGCCTGAGCATGCTGCTAAAGCTGTTGGTCTTCTCTGAAATCATGCCTGTGATGCGCAGGGTCGGTGCTAGCACAGTCAGAGGGAGACAACCAGTGCCCCTTCTTCAGCTCACTCTCAGCTTTAGTAGACCACAGTGGCTTTTCATAAAAGGCTGGCTAAGTTGTGCTTTCAATTTTTTCCAAAACACAGGGCTAGCTATCTTACAGCAGCAAGGTAATACCGAAGCATATGTTGTCGCTTGAGGACTGTGGATTATAGAGTTACATAAATAGTACTGTTGCTCTGTGTAGTGAAAACTGTTCACTTTATACTGTCACACAATATGGAATACAAATCCATCACTGAATAAGGCCAAAAGGAAATTTCCACTTGTGAATCATTGCCAAGTGTCATCAGGTCCAGTGTGGACTTTTCCTTTGTTGCTTTGGATTTAAATAAATGAGCATGAACAGACTGAGATGTGCTACTATCGCTTAAAGAATGGAAGAGAAGATTCAAAACATCTTCACCCGTCATTCCGGACAACGCTCTGGACTAACTCTTGGGTCACTTTGGTTCTCTCCCTGCATGTAGCTTAAGTACTTGGAAATTCAAATAGTGGATACACCACTTGAGGAAAAGGCACCTATACCATGGTGAAGATGTTATTATCAGACTAGTAATTCCATTCCTTGTTAAAAAAAGGCTGCCTTCTAGTCGAGAGTGAGTTGATGTGAAATGATGACGGCAAATCTATATTTCCCAAGCGCTTTGAAATCCTTGTCTGAAAGGCGGTATGAAGTTCATAATGTTCCCTCTTAACAATGATAGTGCCTAAGGGAGTGAAAAAGATGCAGTTTGTCATGCTTGTGCACGAAACAGTTAACTGCTGCCCTTTTCCAGTCTCGTGCCTGTTTATACACAGATCTTGAGTAGAAAGCAAGATTAACCTGATACTAACATCTCTTTCTTCCCGCAACATATATATTCTGCACATGCCCTGCTTGTTTAATGTAACATGCCAGAACCTCTGATGGAATAAGCATTCATTTCCCTTTTTGGCTTGTTTTGAAAGCAGGCATTCAGGGAAGAATTAGAGGGCAGAGCAGTCTGATGAGGACCTCTGGTCCTCCAGAGCAGATTAGTGTGCAAAGAGCAGGGGAATGTTTTCCAGACTCCAGGAGGTAAGCAAAGCTCTCTCAAGGGAGACT